CACTATCACCGATTCTCCCCAGTTGTCTGGGACAGACTCCTTTTCCCAAATGCAAGCAAACAGATCGGACAAGCGCTGACTGAGGACTTCACCCCCGTCTTTGAACAGTGCGGGTGGAAGGTAACCTACAACAAACATTCGAGGCACCTAAGCCACAAACACCTAATCAGACTGTCTGGACAGAAATCAAAAAGCACGAAAGCCACTGACATCGGTTAGCGGCCGTACAGTAGTAGCATCATTCTCTGAATATTTACTCAGCCGAAGCCTGAAACAAATTTGCTTTGCACATCCAGTGATAGATGCACCGAAGCTCGTTTGAAAAAAAACATTGATGCCTGTATGCGTTGCGCTGGTTTGTACGAACGAAAAAGAGCTGAACACGAAGCCCCTGTTGTTCTCAAACCAGGATAACAAAAATACTTACTGACTGCAGGACTTGATCAGCTATCCGATTATCTAGTTTCCACTACACATTGTCAGGTACAAGTACCCAGTTCGGATGTAATTTTTGAGGTGTTGACACAATTGACTGTTAGGACAAGGATGAATGAAATTAAGGACGCACAACCTCACTAACTTTTATGCCTTCCTGACACCAAGGTCTGTCATCTGGTTCGCACCAAGTGGTGGAGTGAATGTCCAAGCAGAGACAACACCGGCTACACCAACAATAATTCGATGAGACACGTCTGCTTTCAAACAACGTTTTTCCCATGCACAAAATCATGAATTCCAGAGACTCCGAACTATGTGCACCGGAAAATCCGGTAAGCATAGTGAAACATTGAAATACCGATCGGTGCGCTGCAGCATGCTGCAACGCCGTTTACGTACGGACGGTAGACTGTGTTACCAACAGCAACGTATGCAGTGATTTCGTCAGCACATCGATGCGCTATCTAGGCAAAAGTAAAACTCGGGGAACGAACTTGTTGTAGCACGCTAGTGCGGCGAAGTATGGTGGTACATAACTATCGGGGACAGCCGGATGTACGCATTGTGGATAATCTTTGATAGGTGAGAATCGACGGTCTGGTAGTGTCTTTGGTTTGGATGAACAAAAAAAGAACGGCAAATGTGAACACAATCTCATCCGATCCTTCGACTAGCCACAAGCAACATTTTTGTTTGGCGAAGGACAAAGACGCGCCACCGACATGTACCACCGCCCTGTTCCCCGAAAAACAGCATTTCACTACGTCAATTGCGAATCCGACGATCCCAACAACCGTTAATTACACACTGTGTATCGGGTTATTTCAGTGTTGTTAAGACGAGTAAGTTGGCGTAAACTGGACCTTATTTGTCAAGATTGCATGGTGTGGTCCCCACTGCGCCTGGTTGGGGAGACAGCGAAATATGGTGACTAATCAATGTCAATGGCGTTTTTGCGGTCAGTTTCTATCCAGAACGCCTAAATGAGCGTCTTGAGGTGTAGGCATTTCGGAATGATTGTAGTAAGCTAGCACAAACTCCCTAACCTGTTCACCTTTATTCTGTTCTTCACAATAAGGCATTCAAATAAGTGACTGAGAAAACTCGGCGAAATGACTAGTGGCAAGTTTCACTAAGGACTTCACGCATTCAGCATATCGGAATCTGATAAGGTGGAATGGATGGACCATCATCTACTCCTTGTTGGTAGGACTAACCGGAAAGCTTCGACAGAATATATGCCAGACACCACCGTCGTGCAATTCTGAGGGGCATACATTATCGCATAGAGAAGGGATGCTAATCAGGAAGAATCTTTTTAACTGCTATAAAGGTAACCAAGAAACTGAATAAGCCATGGTTCTTTCCAAAAACAATGTTTGCGTTGTATGTGGGGTAAAGTAGAAGCCGTAAGCTGCGACGATAAAGATAACAATAATGAGAAATTAGGGTTTACCGTTCATCTTCCATTTCCAAACTGGATTCGCTCTCGCTTAGCTGCCGCGATAAGGCCTCTCGTCGTTCCCGTTCCATTTGCAACAGTTTTCTCAGTCGGCGATTCTCTTCAACAGCTGAGCGCTCCTCTGATTCATACACAGGCATTTTGCTGGCGTTTTCTGCCTCCTGTTGCTCGAGAAGCTTTTTAAGATGCCCGACTTCCTCCCGCAGCTGGTTCACATAGGCTTCAGTAATAAAAGAGCTCCAGTTGGTCGGTTGCTCTGGTTTCGGGGGACCAACAGTTATTTTGGTACTATCTCCGGGGATTTTCTGTACAAAATTAGGTATCTTAGTTCGGCAAGGACTGGTAGAGCCACTGTGATCTGATAAAAAATAAAGATTTCACATTTAGGAATAAGCACATTTAAAATGAACATAAAGATGACCAATCACGAATTCATGTCAAATAATTTTGAGATGGCAAAAGAGAGAACCAGTCAATTCGCCGTTCGATCCGATTAGATTCACTGGTATTTTTCCGATGTGACAAATGGCATCCACGAAGGCCTCAACGCGCAAATTTGCGAGACGAAAACACACATCGAAGAGTAGGCCTTGGCTTATTTTAAGTCGCGGCCATATATACGTACAGCTGAATACTACTCCTGAATGAGTAATGCGCCGTGAAAAAGACATCCAGTGTGAGTTGCTCCTTCCCAATATTACTCTGCTGGCTCTTCCACTTGTACACCACCGATCCTTATCGAACTTCAAAGTTATTCACGCGCTAATTACGGGCCTTAATGAACAAATTACCAGTGTAGTCGGTGTTTCCAGCAGCCATACAAAAGAGAAGCAGGGACGCCATAAAATAAACAGTGCATAACACAGAAACCTCAGATCCACGAGGAAAGCGATCAGGAAAAGGGCAATCCTACTTTAGAATAACAAAAAAGCACAGGTGAGCATTATATCATAGCAAGATGCCATAAGTAGCATCGAACCAACATCTTCGCGAACCTTTCTCAACACAAGCCCAATATAGCAGACGAACGTTAGCTCGGCTGTCTGGCCAGGGAATAGAAGCATACAAACAACTAGGATCCGCCGCTCGGCAATCACGTGCAAAACGAATTGGGTGGGCTTTAACCCAGAAGGTGCGAAGAGCCTACTGTACTCTCTGCGAAATTTTCGCCGACAAGGGCTTGGAATTAAAACGAACGCTTTATTTAGACGGTGGTTTGGCATGTACAGTACACACGCCAAACGCCCTAACCTAACCTTGTTTGATACTCATCTTGTTCTGACTTATTGCTATGCAACGAATTACGAATACGCCGTAAGCAGCTCACGTCTGATAAGATACGAAAGCACCGGGGAAAATGTTTGAGAACAGATTCAGCCGGGTTAAGTGCATCTATTTCCCTACATTGCACAGTCAAGACCTATTAAGTACAGATGCCGGACAGACAGCCCAGTTTTAGTGCATAAACTATTAGTAGTGTGACCTGGAACTTGGTTCCCCGTGACAGTGTTCTTAAGGTGGCTTCGCGTGACCATGCGAGCTACGCTACGTTCTTGTGGAAGGTTTATATCCACTTCAGACTACCTCATCATTCGTGCTAGTTGCACATGAATGGAAATGTCAGTGAAGATACCTATGACGATAGTCTATAGACTAGTTAATTAAATCCTATTTAGAAGAACGAGGAGTGAATGTCTCGCTAAAAGTCGTGTCTGGTAGCCACAACTGCTTGTGCAAGTTTTCCACGTCCTGGGAGAAAGAAGAGTCTAATGATACTCTACCAGAACTTGCCCATGTCCCCGAAGAAACACAATGGCCGAACCCGTTTGACATTGGACAGCAAACGAGCGCACAAAGGGCTCAGTTAATCTCAATTTTGTTTGTGCTCCAAAGTGGCAAACCCTATTTCACAATGCCATCAGTTATTCCTCATTGTCTTGGCGACCGGCAACTGAAGATCATCCGGACTTGCTCCAATACATCACTAGCATCAGCAGCAACTTGACTATCTGCTAACATTCAGTGTTCTCTTCTGTTAAGCCGATGTGTTTAAAAGCAAATGGAACCAATATATCATAATGCCAATTAAATCTGCACATTCCTCCAAAAAGCAGTTGGTGTTTGCCCTTACGAACACCTACCGTAAAGAAAACTTGGTGCGTAATGGAGATGCGGTGATCAGACTAGCGTAGTCGCAAACGGTGGTTTAAGGATCGGTTGTCTTCAACAAACTAGATGACCAACTTACGAAAGTCTGTTAGTGATGAAAATCAGTCATACGGTTTACGTCAGTATGTCAGGTATGGACCGAATGCGTTGGTTCAATTTGCTACGGTTTCGTCCAGAAGCAGATTGGACGTAATGCCAGCCATGCATTGAAACAAGTGGTCTAGGTTCGAGTCGGTAGACCTCACTAGCGAAAGAGGAACCTAAGGAGTTTGTATTGAAAGTCATAAGCTTCAATTAGTGTCCGCCACTAGTTTGTACATGCTTGCTAGTGGTAACAGAGACTGATGAGTAAGTCCCAAGATCCAAGTTCATGAAGGACCCGAACGGATTAACTGATCGTGGCCCTCATACTTTGTTGCCAAATAATTAGCAGATCAACTTCAGGTCGTTTCCACCGGCTCGCGTAAGAAGGAACTGTGAGGTAACTTGTTCTCCGACCTGTAATTCATGAAGAACACAAGCTCTTCCTCCAAAAACCAATCGGCGAACCTCGGCATTGTTGAATCGATGTTCGCATCAGATATGGTCAACGCTTCGGGGACACCATTGTTAAACATTGGAAGTGTTTCGACGTCGTCGGTAGGTACTGGCTAGGTTTCTGATTCATAAAGCAATGTGGATGTTTCAGAAGTGTTGCGAACTTCACCCTTGACAGATAAGCTGATGTCACGGGGAGAGGAGTCGGCAGTTGCACTGGCCTCCTCGAAAGTGCTTTCGTGTCTTACTAGTCCAAGCTACAGCGCTTTGTGATACCGCCGAACGATTTGAAGGCTTCGCATGTATACCTGAATGCGCTATCGAATCAAGTTGGTTATTCAGGATATTTGCGATTCCGACAGATATGGTCCGTGAAGATCCAGATTGTTAGCACCCTAACAATCCGTGGGATTGCCCGAAACCATAGAGTTTTTAGGGTAGGCATTCCGTCACAGACACAAGCAAACCCGTCCAATACGACATAGAGAAAAGCAACATCATTTGAAGAAGTCGAATAACATACACAACAGGAACCACCTTGCTGAAACATAATCTAGTTAAGATACGTTATTTCCGAGACTTATAGTTCAGAGTTCTGAGTAATCTGAGGATAATTTGTTAAATGCAACCAGTGGCCGTTTTTCCCAACTTTGCCACAAGCTCAGACAGGTTCAGCGCTTCACCATCATGATCAAGATCAAATGCTCCAATTTAACGCCTAATGTGTGGATGTCAAACGATACGGTTCAAAACATTTCGCTAATTTTACGGTTGACAAATGTGCTCACAAACAACAAAAAAGGTTCCCGGCTTTCAAACTAGTAAAGCTAGTGGGACTGTGCAGTGTTTCATGGGCAAACACAAGTTACACACTATCAAGTCAATAAAAATAACTGTGACGTTTCCGAACGGGCTACTGCACCAACAGAGCAAATGAGATGGAATAATGAACAGTTCGTCAAGAATTCTAGTACATCATAAAGAGCATGGGTGAAATTTTCAAAAAGGAAACTACTCACAAGGTTGCTGAAAACTCTTCGACAGCCCACGACCGGTTTCACCCTTCTTGGGGCTCATCAGGTAGACGCGATCCCCGAGCTTCCGTCAACCTTATGTTCTACTTGAACCCAAATTAGACTGTTTTTGAGATATACACTAATTTGCAAATCAATTTGGTTTTTACGAGAGACTCAACTGAATCTCTCGTTTATGATATTCTACAATTGAATGTGCTGAAACATGAGGCGGCCTGTGTGAAGCACATTGAGTTGTAGAATATCATAAGCGAGAGAATCAGTTGAGTCTCTCGTGAAAACCAGATTGATTTGCAAATGAGTCTATTTCTCGAAAACATGGGTGATACTTCTGTAATGAATCCACATCCACGATGTTCGTCGGCTGGTTTTCTGTCAAACTCAACGATACGCTGAACACTGCATCCGTCCACACAAATCACATAGACTGTGCACAGTTCGACGTTGATAGATGGCTTTTCAAAATGGATTACCACGCACCGATCGAAAAACTTTCTGCTAAAGTCAGTATAGCGGCACAAATATAGGGAGGGACATAAGACCCAATAGGAAGTGAAATGCCACAGCTATACGCAGCAAAAAAACTGGTCTTCTCCAGGGCTCAGTCAAGTTCAGAACTAAAAACAATCGTATACCAACGCCTTGTGGTTAAAGTTCATCCTCACTAAAGGAAACTACTCACAAGGTTGCTGAAAACTCTTCGACAGCCCATGACCGGTTTCGCCCTTCTTGGGGCTCATCAGGTAGGCGCAGTCCCCGAGTTTCCGTCAACCTTATGATCTACTTGAACCCGAATTGCACTGTTTTCGAGAAATATAGTCATCTGAAAATCAATTTGGTTTTCATGGGAGACTCAATTGAATCTCTCGTTTATGATCCTCACTATACCGCGATCGCCAGAGACGAACAGCTGGTGCAATGTGAATACCACCGAGCACAAAAGAGGAGCAGTAAGCAGGCGGCTGGAACTGACCCATGAGTAAAACCAAGAAAAATCGACTGAGAGCGTAAATAAGCATACAGAATAAAAAGACGAAAACCGATTAATCGGCTGAGTGCTCTCCAAAATTTGTTTTTTTGGGAGGTTAACTTAAAAGGTTAGGGACCCTCAGATGAGGATGTATGATTCCGGAGAGCAACTCAGCGATAATCCTTGAATGGCGAATTTCGCCAGTAAACAAGTAAAGGACATTAGGACACAACCGTTATTTCCTGTCTCACAAGAATCAATTGCCCAGTTGGGTCGGGTGTGGATGTCAATGGTAGGGGTGACTAGAAAACCGTCGGAAATACTTTTTCCGAAATACTGACACATACCATAGTTATCAACGTCCATTGGACTTTGAGCGGTAGCCACATCTCCGGTATGAATCCGGTTAACTTCGTTTGTATTCGCGTTTGCGCTTGACTGCCTCACATCTCCTGATGACACATCTAACGCAGTTGAGACTCCGGAGTTTGGAATAGAGGATCGCACAGCGTCAGTAGTTGATCCTAAGGGGGCGGGGACGGTGCACAGAAGGGGAGAACTGGAAGAAACCGCCGCTGAAGGTGCGGACGAGGGTGCCCCGTGGTTGTGAAGTGAAGCCCGAAGACTTCCATGACCACTGCTGGTCGGTCGCGTAGTTGGAACATTTGGTGCAGAAGGAGCCATCGATACAGCAACGCAAGTAGGTACAACGTTGGTGTTGCCAGACGTACTCTGTTGGGTGCCACTGCCCAGACTTTGGTTACTTGAACTCCCGGATAGAAGAGCACCCAGTGATTCGAGTTTATCCTGCACACCAGTTGAACCAACAAAGAATCATGCCCAGTAAAATGAAGAAATATGCCGCGGGACGACTGATCCATTCAACCCCATACATCAACATGTATTGAGAGAAAACAATAGCTTATAGGGAACATTTATTGAGCTCATGCGCCACATGTGAATGAAACTCAGCTATAAGTCCAGCTAAGTCGGGTGATTCCCACTGCTAGAAAACACTTACCAGTTCGACTATTGAAAATGATGACCGGTTAAAGAAAACATTAGTGACGACGTTTACCACATACGCTTGAAAAGGAAGGCAATGTCGGTAGTCAAAACGCTTATCCAAATTCCCAGTCGTTGGGTCCTCCGTCAAGATCACTGGTAAACTAAGACAGATATTACAACTCCAAAATTATGAACGCGTGTGGCAAGGCCAATGGCTGGGCATAAACCACAGGCTTGGGCAACCTGGCAGTATCCCAGACCTCGTGTTACCTTTTGGTGGCATGGCAGTTAGGCACCGAAAGGATCCTACAGTTAAACGAATTTTAGCAGGCTTCTGATCAAATTATTTTGCGACAGTCGACCTGGGAGACGCTACTTATTGTTTTCAGCTCCGTGAAAACGCACGAAATCGGAGCGGCTGTCTTCGATTTGACCGAGGTATTCAATAGTTTTCATGTTGGTAATTGGCCACCTTGTAGCACATTGCGCCTGAGCCACTCCTATTTAGTAATTGTTCATTACCCTTTTGGCGCCCAGATGCCATGCCACATGAATGGTGCGCCAGGGCTGGGATACTGCCACGTTGCCCAAGTCTAGACAGCAGCAGTCGAGATGCCAGGGTTGGGTTCGAGACACGGACCTTGCCGTGAATATGCTTGCACCTTAACCACTGAGGCATCTCGGCCTACTCATTCCGACACCACTGAGGGCCATCTAGCAGTCTCTCATGTCAGACAACCTGTACTTGTAGATCACTGGCCCTGAAGCACATCAAAGCACCGCATCCTTCAATCTGTCATGCCAACCAAGAGGACTGTGCGGTTTCCAGTCAGCCATTCTACTGCAATTTATCATGTGAGGTCATATCCCGGCCGGATACCAGACCAGTGAAAACTATAGTACCTGTAGTTTCGGAGCAGTTTTTTAATCGTTTTTTACTTCATGCGGAAATCGCTGATCGTTGAGTGAACCAGACGCATATCCTGCACAGTAAATCGATGACTACTCAGTTTCAGTGGACGAGGGCTCCAGAAAGAAGAAACGTCGCAAATGCAACAGGAACTCAAGTTTCATCGATCCTAGTCGACGGCTTAGCTAGCCAGGGTGACTACATAGGACGGCTCAGTTCGTGCCATTGCTATGGCTTACGCACGAAAAGGCAGATGGGTGATAGTGCTTATTTTCATAAGGGGGCACTAGAATGAATGTGGTGGTCACGAGAACAGGTCGAAGAGAACATTTAGTGCAGCATAGCCCGTCAAAAAAAGTTTACTAGCTCTTATTCTTTGTCCCTTGAACATCGACCGAAAAACACCAACCAAAGAGCAGCAAGTGGGATTTCACCCCTGAACAAGTAGGGTTGACCACATTTTCATGTTTTCAGGAAGACAGGGAAGCGATCCACAACCTTGGCGTTCCTATATTTCCAAGGTCTGTTCTGTTTAACACGCCTGCTAAAACAACAAATACCCCACATGTTTGTGAACATAGTAAATTCTTCGTGATTTCAGACTTTGGAACTTGTGGTGACGTACGCGGTACTGTTTACGTGAATATGAAACTAATTATGGAAGGTCTACAAAAATCGGGTGCAGAATCACTTACTGGAGAGTACCTTGTCAGCCGGCAATATGCAGCCGTCATTTCGGTTGTCTTAGGGGAAAACAAATCATTGGCTTTTTGGATCAACTGGCATGCGCTTCACATGCGAAAAATGCAAGGTCATGCCGCTGGGTATACAGTCACGGAACAAGCCACTTGCAATGTAAAGAAAGACACTCGAATATGCGGGGCATTTTACACATTTTGGAAGTATTGGATCCGACTGTAGTGGCGGGTAAGATGAGTGCATAAAAACTCAAGAATCGGTTCTCGTCTGATTGATTGCGACATCAATTAGTGAGATCGCAGAAAAGTATGAAAGCGACGTAACCAACCAATCGACACGATGCTCCATTCACTTGGCTTGCAACGCTTCAAGGTTTTGTCCTTATTTTCTGTGCAGGCTGTTTGAATGGGACCCTGGAGATATGGGCATCTTCGAATGTCGGCAGCTGGCTAGAACCGTATCCATTTTCTCTCATATTGTAGTCTTTTCTGAAACTTCTCCAAGTAAATTATGGTCGTACGGCAGTGAAGCGTCGGTGTACAGAAGTGATGTTTTTTGTCCACTATGGTAGTGACATAATGTGGCCACGCGCCAGGACGGCGAAGCGGACTTCCATACCCGTAATCCAAAGGCCACAGTTGTGTGATGTGACGGGTAATGTAAAAGGCCTCCAATAAAGTAACTGGTTAGATACATAGTAGCTTCTCAGTGCTAACGCATAGCCATCCAGAATGACAGAAATACGCTTGGAGACAGTTGCTCAAGTTGCTTATTTGTGACCACAGCATGGTCTCTGTTCCTCTGTAATAAACAGCTGATTCCTCAGAAAGGCAACCACCAAAAAGTGTTCGAGCCAACAATGTCGAGAAACCAAGGGCTCTTACTTTTCTTAGCTTTCTAGTTTCTTTTCATTATATTAGTAGTTCAGGTTGGCATTCTAGGTATGAGATGCACGTTGAAGATTTGGTAAAATTAAGGTCCTTTCTCATACTTGATGAACTACTGAAACCTATGGATACAACTATTGTTATGTTAATCCATGTGAGAGATTCCCTCACACCATACTATGTGGAACACACCTGAAGCGTACGTTTCTCATTTTCCAATTTCTCCATCTTCTTCCATAGGCGATTAACCAAAGCCTCCTGTTCTTGTTCCAGTGCGTTCTCCAATTCGATTTTCTCCCTGCGCAATCGATCCAAACATTCCTGTTTATTATGCATATCCGTTTCCAACTTCTCGATTCGAAGTTTCAGCTTGCTTACCTAAAAGATGAGGAAATGAGTTGACTGACATAAAACTTAGCAATGAGGTAAGGTTCAGGAAGAGATGAAAAACGAAATGATTGCAAACATATGTGTCAGGATCAGTGACGGTAGAAGCGACCAATAGTGAATCCCGGAACGAGGGCAGACCAACTGTTCCTTATTGGGCATGGTTAAAGCCACCTATTCTAGGAAATTGACCGAGTAAGTAGTTTCGCGTGATAAGGGAATCTCTTCGAGTCTGTTAAGTTTTCTGGTGCACGTGTTCACGTTAAAAAGATTATCCGTATTCCGGCCTATTTACAACGTCAGCATCTCACAATAGGCCACAGTCTATGAACTTCTCGAGATAAGGGATTTCGCGAAATTTTGGTGGTTCAGGCAGTCACTGCATCAATTTTCTTAAAAACTTTGAACGCACTTCTTACTCCTCGTCTATTGGTGACAAACTGTCCTTTAAAAAATTTTTGGTCTACGTTTCAAGAGTGTCCTTTTAGGAAATTTTTGGGATTATAGCTAGGAAACATTTGGCTTTTGGTAGAAAAGTTTCATCAGGCTACGGTAGTAAGGTATTCGACTCGCCGAGTTTTAACGAAGACGGAGAACCAACCAGCAAGCTCTCTTTCGACTAGAACACTAGACTAGTGTTGAATCTCTATTAATAATGGTGTTATCGGTTGGTGCGGGTGCCCAGGTTTTCGGACCGATGGACTGAGATGAGTTAAAGCCGTCTTTATCGGGTTTCTATCCTTAGTCTTCCGGTTCATGGCGCTTCACTTTAAACTTCCACCTGGGTGTCACCGTCTGTCTGGTTTCATAGGTGTTATAGTGGAGTGAGATGACACGCATTTCGGTCAGCTTGAGCTATTTCTGCTGACGACCCCGTTCAAGTCAAAAGCCTGGCCTAGAACCACTCTCCACATGCTAACCAGTTGTACATCTTGTGTCCCATTCACAATGATCCGTCTTTTGACATCCGTCAAACGATCTATCCTATGGATATAAAATAATAGGAAGAGTGACTCTCGCCTAGCAACCGCGAATCTGACGGACTATGTACACTGCATTAGATAAAACTACCTTAATTACTTGATATTCGTGTTACTTTCACCTTCGTGTAATTCGAAGGTGGAGCGTATTTGGGACGTTGTATCAATCGTCAAGTCGGGAATAGGTCTGGCAGTTAGCTCGTGCAACAAAATTTAATTGACATATCGCAGTATCAAATCCCTTAAGTTTGAGTGACATTCAGTAGAAAAATAAGTCATTCACCAAACCGGAGGAGGCGAACAAATCTCGCCTTTAGTTTTCAAACACTTTTCCTACATGCACTTTGAATCCCCTTTAAACGCCCATAACAGCTCAAAATTCGAAATACTGCCTGGGGGTTGCTGGGAAGAACGTCCTTTAGAAGTGCAAGCTATCTTAACCTTAATAAGTATGTTGCACGACTCCGAATGCACTTCACAGACACAGTGTAAAGCACTGCTGCAAGACCAAACAAAGTCAAACTCATGCATCATGCTTTCAGATGAACAGATAGATATGGCAGAAAGGTTTACCTATGTTGACGACTGCATACTTGCCGGCTGACTAGCAAGATGAAATTAGTTCTCTAAAGGGCCAAAGGCGCCAGCATACATCCGACAGCACTGACGCCGAAATGAAATCAGTTTGGTTACTACATTACGAACTGCCCCAGTTTATGGACCTCACAAATGACTGTCCCGTGAAGCAAATGTTCGAAAAAGGTCTGTGTTCGACTACCGGAGTCCCCGAAGGTTTGCCAGGTCTTTTGAGAAAATTGTATCAGCAATGTTGATGAGTGCAACAAGGCCCTAGAAAGAGTAGCTCCCTTTCGACGGATCAGCTGGTCACACTGCAATCGTTACGCTACTTAATTTACGTACATCAGAGGACCCTTCACAACGCACGACAATTACCGTCCAGAATCAGCGGTGGTCGATCCAAGAATCGGTAATGAAACATGAAGGTCGTAGGTAAGTGTACGCAGAATGGCTCCTGTCGAGCCTTTGATATTAATAGTCGCGTTTGCATCCAAAACATCGGCCTGTCGGCTTACGATACCAATGCTGTCTATTCATCCATTTTTAGGTGACATCCAAATCAGTGCATTAGTTGGGTTGATATAGCGTGCCAAGCTTATCTATTCCCGAATGACATCCAAATCAGTGCATATAGCGTGCCAAGCTTATCTATTCCCGAATCGTTTCACATGCGCTTCAAACGTCTTCTGTTTCGTCCATATCTGGGGCATAATCGTCACAGTGGCAATATCGCATGGTTCTACCACGAGTGCACTGATTTGTTGTCAGCGTAGGTAGCAAAATCTCAGTACACGACCAGAAAAACGCTAAAGATGCATGGCTGCCTGCTTCATTTATTGCATAAAGCAACCTGCAGTTGGATGTTTCCAAACGTAGTCCAACCAAAAACGATAAATAGGGGATTGGGGTGTCCTTATTTACCGCCGCGTTGCAGAAACTAGGGTAGAGGTGTTTCCATCACAAATCAGCTGATTCCGTGATTCAACGAACGCTATAAGTATAGAAAGATAACATTAATGAATGAACCTGGAATCCAGGGGTGAGAACCAAGCATGCTAGCGTACAGCTAGTATTTGGTTCATGAAAAAAGGTCCATCGATCACAGCATAATGGAATGCTTCACATCTATGCTGATGACTGAATCACAGGCCCGTAGTATAGTACAGTAATTTTCGGACAACCAGTCAGCAAATTTTTGAAGGATTAAGGTATGTTGCCACAGGATCTTTATGGAAGCAATGCAATGATAGCGACTGGAAAGTGAACGGAAGACTGACAAGAGAGGATGTTTAGAACGCATGGAAACGGACTCCTTTATGTTAAGGCTGCCTTTGAAGACACCACAGCAAAATAGGAATACTTTTATCTGCCTAAGCCTCAAAAGTTGATGAAGGGTCGAAAATGCAATACGAAGTCGGTTGTTCTGTTGGTGGTAGGTTAGTTCGAATCATGCTGCCACAAAACTACTAAACTTGATAGTTCATCAGTAACCGGGATATCAAATGAAGATTACTCTCCTCCGAATGCAAATCAGCCCGTTACTCACTCTTTTCGCTCTGTAGCTGTTCGGGTTACAAGTGAAAAACTACTTTGATGTAAATAGAATGATAAATTTTCAGATGCTTCTAGGGTTAAAAACCCTGCTTCGCTGAAAACTCCTGCTTTCCTGGACTGGGACCTCATGACGATCTCAATAATGAGTGACTGTGACAGCCGTAGTGACATCATAGTTGGGGTCTTCAATATATGACTTCCCTACTTTATACTCAACAAAAACAACCAACTAGTTAGGAAGAGGAAACATACCTGGCACGGGATGAACGACATTTCATCAGTTGGAATGGCTGTGCTGAACTGTTGAGTGGATCCTATAATTTTAGTCCGCAACATATACAGATGCGAATGGATGTGAATGTTAATGTCATAGTTCAAAGGAGACCAACGCGTGGATTTAACATGTCAAACAGCATACCCATATGGTCCTAATTATCGAATCAACGGCTTTATGGTTGGACCGAATTTTTCAAAGAATGAGTTGGACAAGGTGGATCTTTCACGCAGATTGATGCACAGCTTTCCAATTAGCACATAATTCATATGTAAGTGATGTTACAGGACCATTCAACATCATTGTGTTCAAACACGGTGTCACGTTAAACAGAACTGGTTGCGATATTGAGTAGCACGCATAACCATTTAGCGAAAACGGACGATAATACAGCGTGTCTGGTGACTGCAGTGGTCCATGTGGGGGTTACGGGTAGCAAGGGTTCATCTTACTATTTAGGGGTTTTCTCCAAGCTAAGATTCACAGTGAGTTGCCATTCCGCTCCTCATCTCCTCCAGACACATCGAAAGCTCAGGACGGCCTATTCTATAAACCTCCCTCATAGGCAATTTGGAATTTCGATTGACAGTCCCCAGTACAAGCGACCTTAGGCGCTCCGCACCTACGAAGAACTAAGATAGTGCACTTCCACATTTTCCAGCTGTTTGAACTAAAGAGAAATGTGCCACTAATGTGATTTGGGCAATGAAACATAAACCCCCTTTGAAGTGCCACCTCTATAAGGAGCAATCTTTCAGAAATAAAAAGACCCTTGAGATGAGTGAAAACACTGAGTTTCAACAACAAAAAGTCAGCCCTGATTCGTGTTTAGAAACATTCTTTCGAACCTTTGCCAGATGCTGAACCAAGTGAAGGTAATGAAGACGAAGGATAGGAAATACCAACACAGACTAATTCAATACATGTCGAATTAACAAGAAAGGTGAAGAAACACAGGTTAAGATATTTTCATTTAGTCTAATATCATCAGTCGACAAAGTGGGGGAACAGTAAATGCAAGTGAATGCGAAGTCAGGTAATGCAAGATATGGCAAAGGTCAGTGTCGTACCACAGAAGGATTCAGTCAACAGCATCTGTGCGTATGAAACCAGTTTGTTCATCTTCACCAATGAAACAGTAAATCCTAGTATTAAGGGACTTGACTGCAAATGAATGGGTTCAACCAAATGACCGTCGCTTAGATTTGCTTGTAAACTGTTGATAGTTTCTTGCCATCAAAAGGCACGGAGGAAGGTTAGATCACTTTAGATGGATAGGGAACCGGTGTACGGTGATTAGGATTGCAAATCGCCGCGACTTGTAATAGAATAAAAACATGCTGAAACGTTAGTTTGTGTACCATCACCAGCACAACAGAGAAAGGGCAACACCTTTCCTCAAAAAAGGGGGTGTGGGCCCAGTAAGTCTGCTGAGCACAAAGCGGAAGCCGCGCAGCGAAATGCACCTTCAGACATGACAAAGAAACCGGAGTTTTACCATGCACGCACGAACTGCTGGCTGAAGAGGCATTGCTACTGTCCGCAGCTGTCTAAATCGCCTAGATGTGGCGGCATCCACCCTTTTTAATAAAGGAACTAGCGAGCTTCCCCGCCAGTACACTAAGCTGATTACAACCTCTCGTAGAGAATAATTACTATCGATTCAATCGGAGGCTGCAAGCGTTAGCGCAGTTTTCAAATCTGGAAACAAACACATTCCTGGAAAGTACCGATGGGTTACTTCAATTTGTGTAGCCTGCAATGCCGCAGAAGGAATCATAGCTAGTTGGGTGCATCAACATTTGGCGAAGAATAACTTGATTCGTTCTCACCAATATGGACTTCACCAAAACCAATCCTGTCTAATCCTGTCAAGCCCACAAAAATCGGGTTGGCGCGTCGGCCAGAGGTATGCTTGTTTGCATACGTATATCTTTTAGCAAGCTTATGTTAGCAGCTTTTAAAAATATGTGCCACACACGCCCGCCCATGTCCAGGGTAAGGTGAACGAGCAGCATCTTCCTGTATACCCGGAGAATCACAGAGTACGGTGCAAAGGCTGCCACAAATCTGGTAGACCGGTTACAGAACGTGAGGTATGAAGAGAGAATGGAGCTCATGAACTTATCCCCTCAACAGTATGATCAAGCTAGAGATCGCCTGATTACCTCACGATCAGTAATAGGAGGAGGATTTTGTCAGAGAGATACTTGGCAATATGTTCTCATTTCACGCAGAAAGGTAGCTGTCTCGCGCACAGACACATGACCAAATAAGGACCTGATACCACTGGCTGGAGTAACAGAGCGGCAGAGTAATCGAATGTATTTCAAACAAAATGGCCCGACACGCGCCAAATTATGTGATAGGCTTCAATCAAATCACTCAGTCTGATAACTCACCTCTATTGATTACCAAGCACATTTTAGTGACAGGTCACTCGGTTGACCCAACTCGGTCGTTTACAGTCGTTGCTCTCTTCGAAAACTCCAGAGAACTAGCAATCAATGAAACTCTACCGTTGAAAATGAACAAACCAGCTTTACGTGCACATAGCCTGTTTACATAAATCATCTGTCAGACACGGTATGAAACTCCACCCGAAATTCGTGGCACATGACTCTGTACGTTTCTTTCGATGTTCTTACCATGCCATCTAACGAGTAAGCTTTACCTTGTCGACTAATGAAAGTAAATAAAACGGTCACACCTCATCGGCCGTCCTGCAGGTAATCCCTTATCATTAAGCGGATCAAGGGACACGAGAATGGAAGTCATCGAGTTCCCGCTGCGTTCATTCATCTATACTAACGTCTTCGTCATTCGCTGTTTAGTAGCTAGTAGTTAAGCTCAAATGCGTAGCTACCCAAACGGCAGGGACAACCACTACACAAGTGTATAATATTACACTAATTTCCTCAGTCACGGTAATGAGATTATTGAGTGAAGTGCCCCCAAAGAGACCTCTGTGTCCAGTCTCCGCGAAGGCAAGTAAAAAACTCAATTTTCTGGAGTTTCAACCGAGTCTTTTCGTAATTAGTCGAACACACAATGCTTGACGGGGCAGTCAGTTTCTGTTTAATTCGGGGCGAGACAGATTTGGCCACACCGGTTACCTATAATTCACATTGCCGGTACTGACGAATGAGCTTGTCAAATGAACTCACAATAGGAAGAAATGGCTCCACAGTTGACATGAACGGTAGTGAACCATTAAGCGTAGACTCAACGGTAGTTGGTCCAGTCGTTTCAACACTAGAAATTCATGAAACTGATGACAGGGTGAATCTTTACACGACTGCACAGTTACATACCTGTTAAGCCGGTCGTCATGGTCCAGGAACTTAATATGATTGCTTCACACGAAAGGAGACACTACTGCCTCCCAAAAATGAAATACGGACAGTTCGGCTCAATCGTAAAGGACTTCATTGAATACCGCTTAATGGAAACAAAGTTGTTTGGGGTAGTAAGTGAAAGGATGAGATCATCATCACGAAATAGCGAAGCCGCAGGAATTTTGCTGAAGCCAGGAGTGTCGTGGCCTTGGGTAGTAGATGGCGGACGCAGACCGATCACTAGTTAAATAACCTCTACTCGTTGATCAATGTGACAAAAGGCTTCCTTTCCTTACTCGCCATTTGAAAGTGGCTAGACAAGACAATTCAGCCTCTCGTCGGGGAATATTTGGAGGACTGAAGGAATATTAGAATGACGGTTACAGTAACCCAATAAAGTCGTGTTGTTTAACTCTGAAATGATGCACACATTGAAAGACTTTGGGGGCACCCTTACCTCGGACTGACAAACATGAGGGAGATTATTCTACCTCCAACTGGCTCTCAGAACTGTATGATATTGAAGACAAGTCCTGAGTACTAAATTAACCATAAATATCATATGTAATAAGGAATGTCAATGAAATGGACAGACTCCCGATCAAATTTCGTGAACAAAAACACATACTAATATGATTTACATGCGTATCTGGATCCTGATACCTGATTCCCACGATTCGAATTCCCAAATCAACAGAGTGACCCTAACAGGATTTATTGTGCGCAGTCCACAGCCGAACGTCCGTACAACCGGCAATAATAGTTCAAGTGGCACTGAACTACGGTCGATTAACAACAGAGTTCATAATTAAACTGAGCGAATAGTGCGTACTCGTATGGTGGTGTGTGGGTAGATGCGAATGCGTGCTTGTAATTACAACACTTTATAACATGCTCATACCACACCACGTATACCAAGCAAAAAAAAGGTCGTGGCACAAATAAACCAACAACAGAAAATCATATGGAAACACTATAATGTTACGCAGGTAAGTTGAATGCTAGATATTCCTGCTTGCTCACGTTGCGGTATGAGCTGATAGGTACGCTTTCGGCCCGCGTAGCAGAAAGGTTCCATCTTCGTGATAAATACAAATCGAGTGTTCTGCTAATCAAACCGTGCACAACAGCACGTTAACGACTCAGACTATTTGGTCCCATTTGGAAGCCGGACTGCATATTTCATCGGCATATGACGCGAAAGTGAATACCTTACTGTTGAATATCATTTGATTCACAACACTTATAAAACATGGGAGCCTTGGCATATTACAAAATCCACGCTTAAATTGTATATTAGCTAATGTTCTTTACGTATCCGCGTCATTGGACAAGGACCAGTCAAACTCTTCAAACGGGTACGAAATCGGAAATGCCAAATAACGTCGTTACGAGTTTGAAACGCGGCATAAAAGCGCACCAATTCGTGGGCTTTCGCAGAAGACGGACATTCAAACCTCAAGAAGCATAATGCGTTTACTTCCCGATTTGAAGGAAAATCTCAAACGAGGTCAACGAGTTCAATCTGAGTCGCAAACATTGTCCAAACTCAAATTATGAGTCAGCGAACAACCATATAGCGAAAATGAGTAGGCCGACCTTCACCTGAGGAGCGATCTCCAGAAGGGACCACTATAATCAGTTCTCACGGTCACTCCTTATAAGAAATATCAACGAACCTGGAACATTTACTTTGGATGATGTGGGAAATTCTATACCACTCACAAAACGCTACCTGAAACATCCGGAGGTAAACCCGATTTGAACGGATTTCGCTGGACTGGAGATAGTGGTCTGCTCCAGAATAAGGATAGGTCGAAAATCAGACTGCTGTGACCTTACTATGGCTGAAGTAACATTATTATTCACAAGACAAAGGACTGGCTTGGAAGAATACGACTTAACTGAAGGATCCTACAGGAAGACCGAAAGCAACGAATTACCTGATCTTCTTGTTCGCGAGCTAACGTACGCTCGAGGGCCACTTTTTCTTGTCGTAATTGTGTGAATTTGCGATTAAGTTCGTTTGTAAGACATTCCTCTTCTTGTTCATAATTGATAGCTAGGGATTCCTTCTCTTTCTTCAACTCCGTGATCTTTTTCAGCAGAGTATTACTGATGTACTCTTCTTCCTGTTCCGCCCTCGCTTGCTAGAAAGATAGTGAGTAACAAAAAATCATGGATTATGAACCTACGATATTGACGCTGTTCTGTCGAAGCTGTTGATTTACTTCGTTCAGTCCCCTGATTTTCAACTTTAGCGTTTCTATTTCGGTCTTCAAAACTCGGTTCTCCTGTTGCAAAGATTCCACTCGGTGGCATAGTTGTTCGTTGGTTGCAATATTCTCCTTGATGCCATCAACTGAGCTAGTATCTGACTCGAGATCAACTTCAGAAGTGTTGTCCAGCATCATCAATCCTACAGTGTAGTGTGGCACACAAGGAAAGTCACGTGTCGGGTAAGCCTAGAGAAAACCTAGAACGAATTTATACGCCAAATAATGATGAACGAAGAAAGTCAATGAAGGCGGACGGAAAACATCACTCAGAAAGAGTACTATGCACAAAATAAAAATTGCGATTAAGGTGCACTGATAAATCATCAAACAAGCCGTAAAGGAAACAGATATACTCATGCTAAAAGACAGGAGATCGGACGCGATATTCCACCTCTTCCAAGAGAGAGCACTCAGAGCAAATAGTTGTACTTTTAATTAGCGGAGTGGGTCATTAATTCCGTTGGCGGCAGCGCTTACGAATTAAGCGGTAAAACCGCATACATCGGATCGTTTCTGCTAGACATGGCAGCAGGATAATTTTAGTTACACATAAGTGAGTGGTGCGTGACAACGGAAAATCGCAGCGGAAAAATACGCGGTGGTGCCAGGCAATACTTGCAACAAACGGGAATCCTTAGCATATCACAGAAGAAACCATCCTTCCCAATTTCGCCAAAAACAATTTCTGTGCCATGATGAATTATCGTCACCATCAGCTGTAAAAACCGCGCATGTCCCACATAGCGGTTACAACTGTCACTGATTGGGGAGTTGTGAATTGTGGGAGACACTTTGAAAACACACACCACTGAGGAAACGACTGGGACGTGTCTGAACATGTCCCCAATCATTGATGTATCCCGTATCGAGGAGTGGTGTCTCAGTGCGAATTTAACGACCAGAAAGTCCATTGTTCGAACCCGGCCTCTACCGCTCGACTCCCCTGTCTAGACTTGGGAAACCTGGCAGTATCCCAGCCCTCGTGCAACCTTCGGGTGACATGGCAGTTAGGCACCGAAAGGGTGCTACAGCTGAACGATTTCTTTCTACACACTTCGCTGTTAAGTCATTGCTTGATCTCCCCTGGCCCGTTTCTATCCTCTGGAGGTTACGCGAAAAGAGCGAGGAAGTCGGTCAACTGGCATACGGAGCACGTGACAAAGCCAGGCCAAATTATGGTGTGCGATTAATTCATCCATCGTGGGTGAGTTATTTCTTCCGAAAACCATTCAACGTACTTCAGCACTACTAGTCAAGTGTTCTCACCAGACTCGCTCAATGCTCCGAAGAAATCGATGGTCGACCACGAAAAACTTGACGTCCTCAGCGCAAAGCAGCCAGGTTTCTGGCTCGCATAATAATACAAGCATCATAGGACTGAAAACTCGATCCATGACGGACAACCTGATGTCGCGCCTACACCACAAATGATTGGGGTTCACGCAGGCTTCTTTGGTCTTCCAAATCCAGATGGGAATATCAGCTTGCAGATGTGAAGAGCACGCCAAATCATGAGAAAGAATTATTTAGATTATCTAATATTCCATCCATTACCACAAGCTCATATCCAAGAAGAGCTATGTCATCTGCATACTAGATAGCTGTAACCGGAGGCCCGGAAGTGCTTCAAACCCACAGGCATTAGAGGCTGACAGTGAGCCTATCATAATCGCATCAAAGATGAAATTGAAGAGGAAAAATTACCACTATCATCAATGAAAGCGTGAAATCAGTATTCAACAATGATGCTCCGCTGCCGTAAAATCATGATTTATTTGGACGCCTTATTGTGAAGAATAAAAGTAGACGGGGAAGGGACACAGTGCGAGCCTACCACAATCATTCACAGGTGCCCACACTTCCAGACACCCATTCAGGTAACCTGGATAGAAACTGACAACAAGGACGCAACTAACATCGCTTAGTAGCCACATCCTGCAGCGCTTCCAACCAAGCACAGTGGGGATCGAGCAGTCCCCATCCTGAATAGCGAGTGGCACCGAATAGACCCAGACGTTCCGTAATCTTTTTCATATCTCTCTGCCAAGTCAAGAGATCACCACCTCTCTCCTTCCGCCACTCTGAATTGAGGAAGGAAAACTACACTCTCTTCAGTATAAGCAATATGTGGCATAACGAACGCAGCTTCTGGTGCTAGACACATTCTTCAAGGGAAGGCAGCGTTGCACAACCGAAAACTTGCTTTCTAACTGTCTTGTTACGGATCCGCCGACACAAACCTACATGAGCTATGGTTCTGAGAGAACGGTTATCAAACAGCTGAAGATGTCTCATTTCCACTGCTGGAGCAGGCTAAGTCTCAGAGTCATACAACAAAACAGCCCACACTGTAGCCTGATACACACGTCCCATGAGATTCGGGGGTTTACCATTCTGACACCACAGGTGTCTCAAATTAGCAAACGCGACCCGAGCCTTGCAGATTCGTGCATTCACCTCATTTGTCACACTACAATCAGAACTAATACAACTCCCAAGATACGTAAAACGCTCCACAACTTCCGGTAAGTCTCCCTGCACGTCCACGAGCACGACCTTATACACTGTGGGTGCAAAGTGCACGCCAAAGGACAGGATGACTCTGCTCAGTTCATGCAAAAACACCCGCGCCTTTTCCTCGTCTTCGAAGACGAGAGCGATGTCGCCTGCATATTTCAAGGTTTTCGTCAGAAGTTATTTGAACTTCGGGGTTTGAAGCATTTGTTTCATTATCTCGTCCGTTGCGAAATTAAATAGAAGTGGAGAGAATGGACATCCCTGAAAGACACTGCTTTGTGTATGAAGGCTTTTTTTAGAGCTCTTCGCATACTCTCACACGTCCGGAAGTCTGAGAATACAAAGACCGTATTATGTCCACGAACTTCCGAGGCATTCTTTGCTAGATACGCGTGTCAAGGAGAACAGACCAGCCAAATGAGTTGAATGCGCCTTAGAAATCCAACAATACTAAAATGGTGGGTAGTTTGCATGTACGGTGTTGTTCAAAGAAAAAAAGCCAGTAAAATGGAAAGCATCGACCGTGACCTCAATCTTTAAAAAAGGTGCGAGATTGTTACATGAAAACCACCACGGCATTACGGGTGTTACCTGATATTTAGTTTCGCGGGTTGATAAATTATTCTGAGAGGCAGATTAGTGAGAATCAAGCTGGCTTTTGTTCTAGCCGAGGGTGCGTCGATTATAGCATTGTTTCGAAACAAGTTCCTGAACAGCGCCAATCTTTCGAAAGATGGTCGTTCTTGATCTGAAGGCTGCTTTTCTCTGTAAAGCACCACACACTACGGCTGTGTCTGGTGATCGAGAGTATTCCTCCAAAATTTTTATCTTATTGTGTACGAAAACAGATGGTCGGTGAAGGCATGCAGTAAGTTGCGCCCGAGTTTATAACGCCGTATTGTAGGGCAAGGCTGCCCTTTCTCACAATTCTTCTCTAACTTCGTTATTGACCTGATGCTTGAGTCTTCTTGGCCTGTCTCTGAAACCACTGGGATTGAAACACGCTCGGATGCTCACTCACAGATATTGAACGCGGATGATAACGTCGCCCTTGGTTCTGGTCACGCAAAAATGCAAGCCATTTAGATCATCTAAATACTTCTGTTGCACAGTTCAGTATGACCTTTACATCTGGAAAGTGTGGTAAGGTGCTGTTACAGAACTGGCTGGATTAAACCCAAACCTCCAGTTTGCAGGCCAGCCAATCAACTTGGTAGGCAAATTTATTCACCTGCGCAGTTGTGTGGGTTACGATGGAATAACTAGAAACACTACCAATTTTCCAGTTAGGAATGCCAACGAAGCTTTTGCCGACCTGAGCCCTGTGACGCCAGTGTGACATCATCGATACTTCCGAAGCAGTGGTCGGTCTGGTGGGAACATCGGATTAGCAACCCTGAGGTACATTGAATAGTTTGAGGTCTCCTAAAATGGATGAGATATGTTTCACAGGCCACGCTGTTTAGGATATTTGCCTGTTGCACATCTGCTCTGTTTTCTCAAAGCGTTTCATTGTTGATTGCTAAATCACTTTCTCGCTTCAGCTTAGTGTCAAAGATTCGGGTGAATAAAGCGTAGTTTCTGCGCCTCCAGGAATTCCGTTCTCACCCTGAGCGTTATCGCACTCCATTCCTCGTCAAACACAACAATTTCTTCATCAAAAATTTTCAGCTAACAATGGACCGATTCTTACGTCCTGAACAGTTTGATACCGATCCTAATGCTGTGCTTGCGCAACCTGGCAGTATTCCAGTCTGAAAAGCATGAAAAGCTGCAAGGATTATGAATCAGCTATTGCAACCTTGCGAAAAATTCGTGTACAACCGAAAATGAAATTTCCGCTCAGCACCTTCTGAATGCTTGTAGGCGAGATGAAGATCATACAGCAAGCATTGAGGAAAGTGTTCAGCCATGAAGTTGTACCAACTGTTTTGGTCACTGAAAACGGCACAAACTTCACTGCGAAATTCCTCGGATTGGTTAAAAGGTCTTGGATGTCGACATCTGTTTACTGCTCTGCGACATCCCCAGTCGAATGGACTTGCTGAAAATTTTGTCCGAACACTTAAGTCTGTCATTAATTCACTCTCTCCTACTACTTTTGTGGAATTGGACCGTGGGATTGATCATTTTCTAGGGCAATACAGGAACGCCGTTCATTCCGTTACTGGGAAGAGTCCCGCGCTTCTATTTAAATCTTGTTCGTTGCGTACAAGTCTTGACTGTGCCAAAACGGCTGATGTTACATTTTTCAAGGGTAATTATTTACGACCTGCTACAGGATCAGTACTTTTATCAAATGGCAAACGAATGGTCACAATTCTCGATTTGGATGATCTCTCTTGTCATCGGAGACACATTGACCAGGTTGAGTTCAATACCAGAGGTCAGTCTGTCAACGGCACTCCTGCTGTTTCAAATACTAATGAATCCTTTGTAGATGATCTTATGGTATCTGAACAAAACGTATCTGAAGAACACACGACCTTGAAGAGTCTGAAGTTTCCATTCCAAGAAGATCCGAAAGATTGCGGTCAAGACCACCATTGGACTATAAACATCCACACGCTCATTCAAGGTGTGGCGGATGTGATGAACATGACTGATACTCTATTCATTGCTCTATTCATTATTCTCTTGTTTTAATATTCCATATGCTGTACATATTC